AGTCCATCTTCAGAGATAAAAGCGTCCACGAAAAGCAAGTGACAGTTATACGGGGTAGCAGCCAATCAAACATCATAGGATGGGGGGGTTATAGGGAGGAAGAAGGGAGGGAGATGGAGGGAGGGAAAGTCCACTGTCAGGGATAATAGCTTCAACAAAAACAAGCAACAGTTGTGGAGGGTAGGAGCCAGTCAAAAGTCATACGGGCGGAGGGAGGGAGAGGGGGGTCCATTAATCAGCTTTTATCTCTGACGATGGACTCCCGCAAGAGTCCGGAGGCTCAGAATAATGAACAACTTGATCCGGTGCTCGACCTTCCTTCTTCCTCGAGCATGCAAATACCTGGAATGCGAACGTTCTCATTCATTCGTCCACTATTTTAGTTTGGTTCCCCTTCCTACTTGGCAGCTCTATTTCCTTCTAATTAATGAACTTATCTTGTATGACGTTTGCCCAGATATCTTGGTTTTTAGCAGTATAATTTGAGTAACTGCTAATCGGGCCATCTTTCGCTGCTTGCAGAAGGGCAGAATTTAGTGTTTGCATCTCACGGCTTCCAAACTTCTGCCTTTTCTCAACCAACCGCTTCAACCTATCCTTTGTGTCACACCTCTAGATAAGCGAAGTGCCGACAGTTTACGTGAATGCCAACTATGTGAAGGCCTGCGGTTACGATGTCCTGGGGCAGGCCGCGGTTGCGCCAAAGAAAAGCCTACCGGCGTACATCGCCACTCAAGGTCCCCTAACGCACACGGAAGCCGATTTCCTCTACATGGTTCATCAACAACACTCTCCCGCAGTCATCATGCTCTGCAAGTACGTCAGGTCTTCTTCCCATACTCCTTTCTAACCGTCCTAACAGGTTTTAGCAATCTGAGTTCCAAACTTCCGTTATCTCCCTGTTTTCGAGGTTTCAAAGTTTGTTCATGGTACTGGTCGTAGGACATTATGTGCATCATGATCAGTGAACAGGAACACTACTGAAACATCTCCCCTAGGTCGTAAAAGGCGCTGTGACTTCGGACGTACCACCGTCCTCTCGCGTCTGACGGTCATAGGGCTTGGAGTGGGTTTGATTAGCCTGACATAGGGCCACATAAACCATTGTAGGTTCAATTTCTGCGCTTGCAAATGCAGTTGAGTGAGACC